TCGTTCGGATAATACTTTGAGATCCAACTTGATCCCAGATTCCCCTTGAATGAACAAGCCAGGTATATAGCTGATTGTATTTCCTTAAATGGCCATAACAATATATCCCATCCCATGAGCTCTTTTTGCAATGTGACTTTGATACACTTCCCATCAAGAAGTGGGGTATATGTTCCCTCCTCTTGAATCTAGGTGAAAATAATGTTATGTTCACTTCCAAGCCTAGGTCATAAATGGTGATATAACTTCTACCTAGTTCTCTCTGGGGATACCTGCACTTAGAACTCAGCCACCATACTGTGAGGAAGTCCAAGCAGCCCATGGAGAGGCCCATATGGAGGAACCAAGCCTCCTGGTTCACAGACCTAACTGAACTCCCAGCCAACATCTGACACCAACTTGCGAGGCATGTGAGTGAACCGTCTTAAAAGTGGATCTTTAACCCTCTGCTGATCCACCCTGGATGGTACCACATGGAGCAGAGACAAGCTCTCCCTAAAAAACCTTGCAAGAATTTCAGACTTTTGAGCAGACTAAATGAGTCATGTTGTTTTAGGCCATGAAGTTTTGCAGTTGTGTTACACATAAATGAATAATTGATACAGCAAGCTAACAGAAAATGACTGCACAGCCAAATCAAGCCTGTCATTTCATCCATCCCTAGCTACATACATTATGAGCAGCCATGACTATCATTTATTTTAACTTTTTATTATGGAAAACTTCAAACGTATATAAAGTAAACAATAGTATAATGAACCCCTATGTGCCCATCACCCAGTTTCAACAATTATCACCATTCTGTGATCTTTGTATTATCTATATATTCACCCATTTTTCCACCTGTTCTCAATTATAATTTTTTTAGGTAAAGTTTACATGAATTCAACACAAATCCTAGCTGTATAATTCTGACAATGGATACACCTACACCTCAGTCATTTTCCAACTCCCCAGAAAGTCCCCTGTGTAGCGTTCCACTTAAGCCTTCTGTATCAGTCAGCGTCCAGCCAGGAGACAGAAATCACACCAGTAAGTTGAGTAAAGAACATTTATTCTATTCTAATAACTAAATTCTAATAATTTAATTCAAAGTTATTCATATTAACAGACAATGGTTTTAAATTAATAATAACATGTTAAAGAAAACAGGAAATGATAGACAAAATGGATGAAAAGATGCAGAATATTAATTGGAATGTATAAAAAAATCAAATGGACATTCTAGAACTGAAAAATATACCATCTGAAATTAAGAACTCATTTGATTCATTTGATGTATTTAACAGTAGATGAGACTCAGCATAAAACAGAATCTGTAAACGTGAAGACAATCAATGAAAAATATCCAAACTTAAGCACACAAAAGAGAATGGGGAAAAAACAGAAGAGAGCCAAAGAGGCATAGGCATGTAGGACTAAGTTAAAAAAAAAAAAAAAAAAAAAAAAAAAAAAAGGATAGAAGGAAAAAAAAAAAAAAAAAAAAAAAAAAAAAAGCTAACATATTTATGATCGGAGTCCCAGAGGGAGAAGAGAGAATTAGGTAGAAGCAGAATTTGAAAATGACCAAGAATTTTCTAAAACAGATGAAAAATATCAATCAACAGATTCAGTAAGCCCAGTGAATCAAGCAGGATTGAAAAAAAAAAATCAGCCTCTATTCAAAAGTTGGCAGGGAAATGATATCCTACGTAGACAGCCAGGTTTTATTCAGGACAGGTAGGTGGAGTTCAGAAGAGGTTAAATATACATAGAAATCTGTGATGAAAGATGATGGATTCCAAAACTTGCAGAAGATGGGTTTTAGAAGAGTGCTAGGCATGGAAAATTGGGTCAGGCGAATAGATGTACAGGGATATGAGACACAATGGGATTCAGCCTGATAGTCTCTTAGGGGAAGCAGGTAACCAGGTTAAGGTGGGTGTGTGAGGCTCTCTTGCACCTGCTGGTAACGTGGTAGCAGAGGTGAGTGAAGGACTCCTCGGAAGAATATCGTCTTAGGCAATGGGGAGCACTTCTAAGGGCCTCTTTTCTCTAGGGGCAAAACAGTATGGTAGGCTGGTGAGGAAGAGGTGCTCTCATCCAGAGGGGGAACCAGGGATGCCTCCTGCAGCCATGTAGTGTTATGGCAAGTGGAGAGCAAGGCAAGGAGAGGTTACTACTTCCCTGATGTTCCCTGACCCTCAACTTGAGTCCAGTTGTGCTACCTGCGCCACGGCCAACTTGGACTGAGTCATCACTCAGAATGGCTTTATCCTGAATCTTAAATAGCCCTCTGTATCTGCAGGTTCTTCATTCATGGATTCAACCAAATGTGGATCCAAAATGTTTGGGGAAAAATTCCATTGTTTCAAAAAGCAAAAGAGTTCACTGTGTGCAGGCAACTATTTACATAGCATTTACATTGGATTAGGTACTATAAGTGATCTAGAGATGATTTATTTAGAGGTGATTTATACAGTGGGATGTATGTATGCAAATACTATGCCATTTTATACAAGGTCCTTGAGCATGCACAGATTTTAGTATGCATGGCGGGTCCTGGAACCAACCCTGAGGATACTGAGGGACAACTGTATTAGGTCCTTTGAGGAGGCTCTTTCTCCCCAGGATAGTTTCACGCCTCCAGGCCTACTTGTATTGATATGATAGTACAAAAATGGTTTCAAAGAGGGAAAATTGATGATCCACAGATTTTTCAGGTTCTCCCCTTGGAAACTAAGTCCATTTCCTTTTTATAAGTTTGGAATTTTGCACTATGAAGTCATGTGTTATTTTTATTTATTTATGGCTGTGTTGGGTCTTCGTTTCTGTGCGAGGGCTTTCTCTAGTTGCGGCAAGCGGGGGCCACTCTTCATCGCGGTGCGCGGGCCTCTCACTATCGCAGCCTCTCTTGTTGCGGAGCACAGGCTCCAGACGTGCAGGCTCAGTAGTTGTGGCTCACGGGCCCAGGTGCTCCACAGCATGTGGGATCTTCCCAGACCAGGGCTCGAACCCGTGTTCCCTGCATTGGCAGGCAGATTCTCAACCACTGTGCCACCAGGGAAGCCCTGAAGTCATGTGTTAATATATCTGACCAAGAAAAAGGTCTAATAAAACAAAAAGATGAAGATACTGAGAGAGAACTATACAAACATTCCACTTTCTGACCCCCATCTCCTATTTTCCAGTTCCCTCACTCAATTACTCCCTCTACCCCTCTTCATTCCCCTCTTACAAACTTCTACTTTCTACCCACATATCAGTATTATGTCTTGTTCTCATTTCCCACCCAGTCCTTAGAGTCCTTGCCCATCAGTTCAGGCACTCTCAAAAGCTTAGCTCCCTCACCATTGCCCTTCCATTATATATGTCTGGCAAACTCCTATCCTGGATGAAGTCAACTCTTATTTGTGTACCTGCATCTGATTTACTGAGTGCTGCTTGAGAAAATCATATAACTGGGAAGATGAGTACCATGCTCTCTACACATTTTCAAATATAATTGTACAGAGGTAAAACATGAATGAAACTCATCATAAAAAAATTAAAACAATGTATATGGAGTAAAAGATGAGAGTTCTCTCCTAAAACCATTCCCCAAAACATTGCTGTTAAGTTTGCCATATGTTTTATGCATGTATTATTGTCTTAAATATAGATATATATGCATGTACATATATATACATATAAACACACATATATACACATATACATACATATATGAAATCAGATAGGTAGCTAGATTGTAGTACACTTTGTTAAGCAATTTGCATTTTTTTCTTTTCTTTTTAAAATTTAATATGTCACGGAGAGCCCTTCTTCTCAGAAGGTACAGGTATATTTTATTCTACATAATATCCCATTCCCTTACTTACACTTAGGTAATAACCATTTTCACTATGAACAATGTTATAATGAAAATATTTGTACATCCTTCTGGTTACATGTGCAAATATGTCTCTAAAGTGGATCCTCAGAAGTGGAAATGCTTGGTCAAAGGGTATTCATATTTAACATTTTAATACATATTTCTAAATTACCATCCAAAAAGGAGGAGCTATACTGAATTGCCCTCCCACCTGCGTAGGAGAGTTACTACCCCAAGCTGGGCTCTCAACACTGCCTGGCTCTCTTTCTCTTTCCTTCCCTAGACTTCTAACTCTCCCTCCTTCTCTGCATAACTTAACTACTCAAAACCTCTTCTGCACCCTCCATCCCCACCCAAACATACCATTCTTGGCAAATATTTCACCTAATATTAGCAGAGAAAATGGAAGTCACCAGAAGAGAACGTTCTTGACTTCCTATCCCCAAACCTACAAAACCTATCCACCTCTTGTCCTCCTTCCCTCCTGTTACAAGGCGGGTGGGTGAGGACAGTCCTTCCTCCCGTGTTTAAGTCCTGGTTGTGCGGTCCTTCCCTTCACAAAGGGCTAACTACCTTCCATCTAAAGGTCTCAGCTTCCACTCCTCAGCCAACTTAAATCTATTTTCTGCCTTCATCGCTCTACTGAAAACCCAAACTCACCTTGGGTCAAATCCACTACACCTTTTCAGGTCCTTATCTTAGTTGACACTATTGCCCACTCTCTTCATAAAGCCACACTCTCCTGCTTTTCCTTCTCTGTCTCCACAGCACTTCATTCTCACTCCTCTAGTCTTCAGGCTCCTCTTGTCCAAACCTTAAAAGTTGGAGTTTGGGGTTTCTGTCCCGAGGCCTTTGTTCCTTCTCTCTGGGAGATGTCACCCATTCCCCCCTTTCAGCCACTGTCACCCCTCTGTCTTCAACTCTGATCGGTATGTTCAGCCCAGACCGCCGACCTGCCCAAATGTGACTTCATCGTTTCCTTTTCGCTCCTCTGAACCTCCACTCCCTCTCTCCACCAAACCCCAGTCCCTCCTCTGGGAAATCTCTTCCAATTCCTTTCTCTTCTAACTCCGGCGCACTTGGCTCCAGTACCTCGCAGACCTGAGGAATGTATTTCTCCTTGAAGTAGTTCCTCAGCCTGGGTCTGGCAAGGTGCAGCGAGGCCATGACCAGAGGCCCTGCTGAAACTCTGCGCTTCCAGCCTGCGCTTCACGCCCCGCGCAGCAGGAGCCGCGCCTGGCTAGGGGCTGGCGCGTCTCGGCGTTGCCCCGGCAACCACGCTGCGTGGAGGGGAGGGGCTAGGCGCTGCGTTGCCGCGAGCGCCCACCGTGGTGCCGAGGACTGCCGGGAGGGAGGTGAATCTCGGGCCGGCCTGGGGGCGGTCCCTGGTGTGTGCTCTTGGGGCGTTCAGTCATTGCAGCTTTTCACCGAGTCCCGCTCTCCTTCACCCGCGCCCCGCCCGGACTCGAGGAAGCCGCCGGGACGCGTCCGGGCCGACAGGGCGGTTTCCGAGAGGCGGAGCTCAGTCGCCCATTTCCTTTCTCCGTCGGCTAGAACCCGGACGGCGGCAGCACCCTCTGGCTTCGGACCATCCTGCGCCAGGCCCAGCGCTGCGCGTGGCCCCAGCGGCAGCATGGGCGGCGCCCGGGATGTGGGCTGGGTGGCGGCGGGCCTGGTCCTAGCGGCCGGCGCCTGCTACTGCTTCTACAGGCTGACGCGGGGCCGGCGGCGAGGCGTCCCCGGGCTACGGCTGCGCCCCTCGCGGTCTGCAGGTGAGGCCACGGGGTGCCTGGCAGGTGGGCGGGGACGGGGACTGTGGCTTTCCCAGAGTGGGGGTTGAAGACGCCACAGGTGCTCGTGGCTTTCCAGTGCTGGGAGTAAATAAGGAGCCCAGCCAGGGAGGGAGGCTGATGAGAAGGGCAAAGTCGGGAAGCCCAGGTGCAAAAGACGGGTCTTCCACGTGATTGGGTGAGTGTAGGGTTCAGAGCTGGTTCCCCGCCTCCATTTCTTTGTTCAAAATTCCGGGATGAAAAATTGCCCAGACTTTCTTGTCTGAGTCTGGCGTCACAGCTGAGAACAGTTTCTCAAAAGCGTGTTGATTGCCTCTCAACGTTAAAGCTTGCTCCCGGCCTTTGTGTTACCAGGGGGATTCTGGGGCGATAGATGAAATTCTGCGTGCAGGTAGCCTGGAAGAAGGGACGCCAGAGGGGCAGTTCTGAGGGGAGGTACTTTGAAGTCGCCGTGGTCTATATATATATACATATATATATATATATATATATATATATACACACACACACACACACAAAGTATGCGAGATCCTGGAGATACAGATATAGCTATGTATATCAAATTAGAACAGTTGTCTGCATGGAGGACACCCTCCTGGCGGACAAGTGCATGGTGAGGTTTCGGTCCAAAAATTGATTGCTGCATTCAGGATTCTAACAACTTGTTGAATGTTCTAGGGGGTATTTCAGGTCATGAAAGCTGTTACAGAAATAATTAAAAATAAAATCTCCTGCCAACCAAGAAATTCCTCTCTACAAATGTAGGAAAGAACTAAATAGCTTTATTAGAGAATAAGCATTAAACCAGGTTGCTACGCCCATCACGGGCAATCTGCTAATGGGATTGCAAAGACAGAATTCTCACCCCTTTATGTATCCAACCAGAGATAACCTGTAACCTCTTTCATATTAAGTACATGCCGTCAAGATAAACAGTAATTTGTCCTTAAGAGGACTTGACAGAACCATTTGCTACACGTAGTTCATTCTAAATTCACAGGTAGTTGGGGTGGTATTTGTGTTAGCTAATAGCCGTTATGTAGAAGAAAAATAAGACTTCTCAGTATCTATGATAACCGCGTAGTTACAACACAGAGCCAAGAACCGAGCTCTGACTCACCCAGAGACAAGGAGATGGGGACTCCATCTTCCTTGATGTTTACACTTCAGATGACACCAAAGACGCTAAGAAAGATTTTCTTGGGTTTTAAACCGGCAAGAGGCTTACTTAGCTTTTAAAAAGATGTATATTTATATCAAAGGGACAGACAAAGGATTTACAATTACTAGTTTGCTCAAGGAAATGTTCTCAGAAAAGGGAGTGGGTGAAAGGTTTCTTTCCCTTTTGGCACAAGGGGGAAAAAATTCATTTTAAAACAGATTTGGACTTACCTTTACTTCCAAAACCTACTTTGTTGTCTTTGTGTCAGAGATATTTTTGTATAAGTAGTCAGGTGACCCGAACTCAGATACCTTCTCACTTACACTTACTCAACATGATGAACACTGACAAAGTCTTACTACCCCCCCAAAATCACCAGTACCTTGGCCAGGCAACTTACAAAATACGTTGCTCACAGCCACTACCTGAAGCTACACTTTTTTCTTTGAAGAAGACTCAAGAAATACCCATTTTGTCAGCATCACCCTTATGTTTTGGAAGGTGATCTATTTTTTTTAAATTGAGATAAACACTGTATTAGTTTTAGGTGTACAACATAATGGTTTGACATTTGTATATATTGCAAAATGATCACCATAGTAAGGTTAGTTGACATCCATCACCACAAGTTTTCTTGTGATGAGAACTTTTAAGGTCTACTGTCTTAGCAACTTTCAAGTATACAATACAGTATTGTTAACTATAGTCACCAAGCTGTACTTTACACTCCTAGTACTCATTGCCCTTATAACTGAAAGTTTGTACCCTTTGACCCAGATCTTCCCATTTCCTTCAGCCCCCAGCCCCTGGCAACCACCATGACACTCTGTTTCTATGAGTTGAGTTTTTTAGATTCCACATAAAAGTGAGATCATTGTGTATTTGTCTTTCATCGTCTGACTTATTTCTCTGGACATCATGCCCTCAGGATCCATCCATGTTGTCACAAATGGCAGGATTTCCTTCTTTTTTATGGCTGAATAACATTCGATTGTATGTATGTGTGAGTGTGAGTGTGAGTGAGTGTGTGTGTGTGTGTGTTATCACGTTTTATTTATACATTCATCCATCGATTGACACTTAGGTTGTTTCCATGTCTTGGCTATTGTAAATAATGCTTCAGTGAACATGGTGGTGCAAGTATCTTTTCAAGGTGGTGATTTCGTGGAATCACGAAGTGGAATTGCTAGATCATGCGGTAGTTCTGTTTTTTTAGAATTTTTTTTAAAGTTTTTTTTTGATGTGGACCATTTTTAGTCTTTATTGAATTGTTACAATATTGCTTCTGTTTTATGTTTTGGTTTTTTGGCCACGAGGCCTGTGGGATCTTAGCTCCCTGACCAGGGATTGAACCTGCACCCCCTGCATTGGAAGGTGAAGTCTTAAATCACTAGACTGCTGGGAAGTCCCTGGTAGTTCTATTTTTAATTTTTTGAGGAACCTCCATATTTTCCATAGTGATTGGAAATTTACATCCCCACCAACAGTGCACAAGGGTTCCCTTTTCTCTACATCCTAACCAACACTTGTTATCTATTGTCTTTTTGAGGATAGCCATTCTAACAGGTGTGAGGTGATAGCTAATTGTGGTTTTGGTTTGCATTTCCCTGAAGATTAGTGATGTTGAGCCCCTTTTCATGTACTTGTTGGCCATTTGAATGTCTTTGGGGAAAGGTTCATACAGAGCCTCTGCCCATTTTATAACTAGATTGTTTCTTTTTTTTTTTCCTATTGAGTTGCTTGAGTTTTTAAATATATTTTAGATAGTAACCATTTATCAGGTAAATGATTTACAAATACTTTCTCCCATTTCATGGGTTGCCTTTTTATTTTGTTGATGGCTTACTTTGCTGTACAGAAGATTTTTTCATGTAGTTCCACTTGTTTATTTTGCTTTTGTTGCTTTTGCTTTTGGTCAAATCCAAAAAATCATGTCAAGACCCATGTCAAGGAGCTTACCATCTATTTTTTTTTAGGAGTTTTAGGTTTCAGGTCTTTTTTTTAAGAATTTATTATTTATTTATTTATTGGCTGCTTTTGGGTCTTTCTTGCTGCATGTGGGCTTTTCTCTAGTTGCGCCAAGCGGGGGCTACTCTTTGTTGTTGTGCGCGGGCTTCTCACTGCGGTGGCTTCTCGTTGCGGAGCATGGGCTCTAGGCGCAGGGGCTTCAGTAGTTGTGGCCCGCGGGCTCTAGAGCGCAGGCTTAGTAGTTGTGGCGCACGGGCTTAGTTGCTCCGCGGCATGTGGGATCTTCCCGGACCAGGGCTCGAACCCGTGTCCCTTGCATTGGCAGGCAGATTCTTGACCACTGAGCCACCAGGGAAGCCCCTAGTTTTCAGGTCTTATATTTAAGACTTTAATCCTTTATGAGTTGATTTTTGTGTATTGTGTGAGATAGTGGTTCGGTTTCCTTCTTTTTTGTGTGTGAATTTTATTTTATTTTTTATACAGCAGGTTCTTATTAGTTACCTGTTTTATACATATTAGTGTATATATGTCAATCCCAATCTCCCAATTCATCCCACCACCATCCACTGCTTTCCCCCCTTGGTGTCCATACGTTTGTTCTCTACATCTCTGTCTTTATTTCTGCCTTGCAGACTGGTTCATCTGTAGAAAAATGGTACAGATGAACTGGTTTGATTCTTTGGCATGTAGCTGTCCAGTTTTTCCAACACCATTTATTAATGAGACTCTTCTTTCCCTATTGTATAGTCCTGGCTCCTTTGTCATAAATTAATTGATCATGTGTGTGGGTTTATTTCTGGGCTGTCTGTTCTATTCCACTCATCTATGTGTCTGTCTTTGTGCCGATACCATACTGTTTTGATTACTATAATATAGTTTGAAATCAGGAAGCATGTGAGTTTCTGTTGTGGATTTTTGGTTTGCAGTTACCATCCATGAGGTTTTGATATAGCAGTACATATATATATAAACAAGATAGTTTTGAGTTGCTGGTCTCTTAATCTCAAATACATTTCCAATGTCCTGCATTTCTACTCTCCTCACAGTTGATGGTTTTGATATTTGTGTGTGGATGATTTCCTAACTTTACTGTATGTTTGCCTTTACCAGTGAGCTTTACCCATTCATAATTTTCTTGTTTTTAGTTTTGGGCTTTTCTTTTTTGCCTAGACAAGTTCCTTTAGCATTTGTTGTAAAGCTGGTTTGGTGATGCTGAATTCCCTTAACTTTTGCTTGTCTGTAAACATTTTTGATTTCTCTGTCAAATCCGAATGAGAGCCTTGCTGGGTAGAGTATTCTGTTTTTGTTTTTTTTTTTAATATTTTATTATTTTGGTTTTTTTGTTTTGTTTTGTTTTTCACACACACACACACACACACACACACACACACACACACACACACACAGTATTTTATTTTTACGAGAGATAAATAGACTGACACCAAGCATTGTAAATGGATGACCACAACAAAAGCAACAATGATTGCAATTACCAAACACGAAACACACTCACACTATGTCATAATATTGACATTCACTCCAGTAATCCTCCACTGTAATAGCTCCTTTACTTTGCAGTGAAAATTGATTTGTATATTTTTTGCCTTTGAGTCCTTGTGGGATTTTTTTTTTTATTCAAACAGAAGGTCACAAAAATTATAATCATCCTCATCAGTTCACTCAGTCCCCTGTAATCAATTTTTTTTCATCTTGATCTTTTGTTAGCACTTTATGAGTTCATCAGTTTTCCATTAGAGTTCTGAAAATGCTTATTCATTCAGTTCAGCAGTATAGTCAGTTACCAGAAACCTGTACTTGTCTTTTCCATGAATTCCTTGAAGATGAAACCCTT